CCTCTTAGATATTCTTTGTGGCTACAGAGGCGTTGTTTCCCTTTTTGTATTTAAACAGCATTACATGCCGAATGTGTATCTCATAACTATAATGGATTAGAGTATATTAAACTTTACACATTATGTAGGCTACACTAACGTGACGTTTAGACAGTTCGTTTAACTATTATATGTGATTTACGATTTTTTTAGGGGTGGTTAATGAAAGTGTTCCAAAACGCGACATTAATTTCTTGACGACCTAATACTTTCTTAAGGTTATTTTCATTATAACTAATTATTTTTATTTATTATTATTATAAAGATTACTTCACACTGTTAGCTTGATTTATGGACTTAGGACTAATCTAAATCTACCAAGCTGTCCGAGCCATGTATCATTTTTACCGCGCTGTGGTAGTTCTTACTTGGACATCGATCTAAACAACCAGTTATGAGTTTACTACATTGCGGACACAGTGGTTTGTTTGTTTGGAATTAAGCACAAAGCTACACAATGGGCTATCTGTGCTCTGCCCACCACGGGTATCGAAACCCAGTTTCTACCGTTGTAAGTCCGCAGACATGCCGCTGTGCCACTGGGGGGCGAACACAGTGGTGGTTAGTATGTAGACTTTTTATTATTTCTCATTATATTTTAATATTTATTATTTTACTATAATGCATATTCTACATAGCATAATTTTAAGCTTGTTATTTTCATCATAAACATTATTTCACATTGTTAGCTTAGTTTATATATTTAGAACTAACCTAGATCTGTTTTGTTGTTCGAGACAACTGTAACCTTTACCACGATGTGGTAGATCTTTCTTGAACATCGTCCGAAAGAAGTCAAACTTTTACCACAGTGCAGACACATACACAATGTTGATTAGAATATCTATTATTTCTACTTTTATTTTTCATTATTTATCATAATAATCATCCTGCATTGTTAACTTAGTATATGGATTTAGGAGTAACCCAAGTCTTCTGAGCTGACCAACTCGTGAGATGTTATTGAGTTTGCGACCTCCCTTATGTTTGAATGAGAATGACCAGTGACGTGTTAGTGCTAGTCGCATTGGGTAATCTGGCGTTGTCGATTCACTTTAGTAACGTGAGATTTAGTTAGTCTGGAACATCATCTTAGGTGAGTCAGTCAACTTGGAAATAAGTCTTAAGGGAGTATAACTAGTCTGGTCAACCCACCTCTCCAGTAAAAGTCAAAATAAGTCTTAAAGAAGTATTACCATTCTGATTAACTCACCTCTCCTGTAAAGGCCAAAATAAGTCTTAAAGAAGTATTACCATTCTGATTAACTCACCTCTCCAGTAAAGGTCAAAATAAGTCTTAAAGAAGTATTACCATTCTGATTAACTCACCTCTCCAGTAAAGGTCAAAATAAGTCTTAAAGAAGTATTACCATTCTGATTAACTCACCTCTCCAGTAAAGGTCAAAATAAGTCTTAAAGAAGTATTACCATTCTGATTAACTCACCTCTCCTGTAAAGGCCAAAATAAGTCTTAAAGAAGTATTACCATTCTGATTAACTCACCTCTCCAGTAAAGGTCAAAATAAGTCTTAAAGAAGTATTACCATTCTGATTAACTCACCTCTCCAGTAAAGGCCAAAATAAGTCTTAAAGAAATATAACTAGTCTGACAAACCCACCTTTCCAGTAAAGCCCAAAATAAGTCTTGAGGGAGTATAACCAATCTGATCAATCCACCCCTTTTATAAATGCCACTATCTGTCGTCCAAAAATGTGGATTATACACTGTCATGTTGTGTAACAAAGATTGTTTCATTATGTATTACACATCATGTCTATTCTATTTATTTCTTTGCACTAGCTCAGTCAGTTTAGGGAAAATGTGAATTATTTTGCTATATATCTCGTCCAGTATTTTGTTATATAGTGCACCTACCTGATTTGCTCTTCTGAAAAATAATATTTATCTGAATATACAACAGTATTAATTATAATACATACAACAAACTACATTTAATCCTGAACTTTTTACATTCGCAGTTATACTCTGGTTTGTGTATAATGCAGTAAACTACATCTAATCCTGAAACTCACAACGTTACAGTTCTCACTGTTCGTACTGATGTTCGCTTACCTTGACCACCTCCTCAGGGTACCACATAGCCGGCTCATAAAGTCCAACTTTACACCGATCGCACTGCTGGCCATATAGTTTGAAAGTTACAAGCCCCTCTCCTGTACTGGGGTTTAAACCAAACCAGAACACAACTCGGCCTTTCATGGAAGTCCACGCGTGGGCGCATTCCTGAAAAATTTATCATAAATAGAAGATTACTTGTTTCTTTTACTTTGGCTTAATATTATTATTGGTATGACTACTTGGTGTATTTGACTATAAGATACGATATATTATACAATATTATTTCATTACTAGGCACGAATTCTGTTACAGTTTTGATTACTTTGAATTTTGAAATATACTTTCTTCTATATATCTGAAGCCCTCGCCAGTGGCTCAGAGGTAAGTATGAGGGCTTATAATGCTAAAAATTGGGGTTTTGATACCTATGGTGGGCAGAGCACAGTTAGCTCCTTCTGTAGCTTTGCGTAGTACAACAACAACAACAATTTATATTTAAAAAACATATGTAAGAAAGTAAGGTTATTATCAAAAACAAACTTTGGAAGTTACTTTAACAACTACCATTATGTTTGCTAAACCAGCGACTTTTTCACAATGTAGATGTGATATACTCAATAACACGGGTTTCCTACTGTTAACTTTAGTAGCTGCTCTAACTAAAGGTTTGGCGATAAATGTAATTCAGAATTACACCTCTGAATTTTAACCCTAATTAAATAAAGTGACATGATGATAAAGTAAAAACAAAACATGTTATTTTCTTACTAACACGAGAGAAGGAAGTAACACATGACGAACTCAATAAGTAGGTGTGTTCACAAAGCATTAATAAAAATGGGGAAGAGAGTATTCTATGTTTCTATACCTTCACAGGACCAATCTGGGCAGAAAAGTAGTTAGTATAAGCTCATAGGAATTCTCCTGCGACACCTACCATGGTAGACTTAGAAATACTTATGGTTGTGCACTACAACAATTCTAACTGTCTCATCAGTAAGGTTAAAGTAGGTAAAAATGTTATATGTTAATATGTATGACACCTGAACAGTTTTTGAGAATGTAAAAACGTTCTAAACTAAGAAAGAAAGAGACGTGATGTGTTACCAATACCAAAAAGGTTATAGTAATCTTTTAAATAAGCATAACATTGGTTCTACTAGTATACTGCCTTGCTAATGTACAAAATTAATAAATAAAAACACTCGCATGTGAAAACTGGCGAGTATCTGGAGGGTGGACAATATATTACTATTTTGTTTCTATTATTTTACACGAATGGAATAATTTTAGATTAAAACTACTTTGTTACGAAGTTTGACTCAACATCTGCCACAGCCATACCTAATTTTGAGCTGATAGACTAGAGCAGGGGTCACCAAACTACGGCCCGCAAGGTCAGTTCATCCGGCCCACAAGTGACTAAAATACCTTCTAGAGTATATGCTATACTAAGTCTAGGCTGTTATCTTGATATAATATGGTCCAACTTGGTATCAGATGGAAATCATAGTAAAATGACAGGTTTTTTTTGTTTTTGTGAGGGTAAGCATAGATGACTGAGAGTTCAGATGTCACGTGATAAGAAGAGATCAAACATGTTATGTTTAAGATATTTATTTTTTGTTCTTAAATACATCACAAAAGTTTCAAGTAAACTAGGTCAAATTGAAGACAAATACGGACTTTTGAACTGGATAACTTATTGAAATTGGTTTCAAAAAAGTGAACTGCACTGTGCTACAAATGAGCTAAAATATAATTATTTATATGGAAATATCATAGATTGTAGATAAACTTGCTATGT